AGGTCCGGGAATCTGCATCGTGTAAATCCGGAGAAGTGATAGGGGATCTTATAAGTTTTCATTCATTCATATATCCTCAGTAACTATTCTTCCGTCCCAGTCGTAATAGCATGGCACTGTCCTGCGTAAGTCAATGCTAAGCAGTGCGAAGAATGGAAAAGTGCGTTCTTCTCCGTTGCTACGGTTGTCCTGAAGCGCTGTGATAAAAACCAATATGGACGGTTGATAACCCTTTGACGAAGCTGTTTGGAACCGTTTACGTAGTGCTCTCTTTATTGATTACAGACTCGTTACAGAATTTGTCACTTAAATCGTGTTAACTTTCTAACGAACCCGAAAATCATATCTTACTATCTAAAGACATGAAGGGGACGTGGATAATTTAAAATTCTGAGTGTTAAGCGTAACGTGAAAACGTTATTCATTTCTGAACATCCGTTCTGCTTCGGATGAAAATACAGGTAGCTGCAGTACAAGAGACTAACTGGCTTGAAATAAGCGTTATTACTGCTGAATCGGTGGCTTCTGTAATAATTATGATAATGCGGATGGTATTACAGTCATCTATTAGGTGGCTCAACGCGAAGTACTCTCATGAAGCGCTCGCATCGGACATTACGCCAGAACACATCGTCCGTTCTGGCACCGCCAGATCACAGCACCGGGTTTCCCTGTTATTCGCAAGATACCGATTTACTGTTTGTTCCAGTGGATGCTCCGAAGCAACATGGAGTGAATCCCTTGCTCAAGGGAATTTGCGGATAAGACTAAAGTTGTCCGTTTTGCGGATTCGAACCCGGCAGCTCTGGAGTCAACACCGATTTATTAGCCGCTGTACCGCATCGCCTCATTATGCTTATAGGATTCATCTTCACCTTCCATCGCCGCTTCTCCTTTCAGGTCGCGGAGGCAGACGCGTCAGACAGTGCTTCCAGCGTTCCCGATCCTGCGCCAGAGTCTTAGCATCGGCAGAAGGGAACTAGAGTTTGGAACAGACTCTTTCCATATATTTGCACCAGCTTAATCTTGGCCGTCCCTTGGGCCTTCTGCCGGTCGGCTGGGCCAGAAGCAAATCCTTCACCTTCCTTTCTGCAGGCCTTCGCCACAGAAGACCAAGTCATCGGAGCTCAATATGAAGAGTTTCGTCTGTGCACAAAGGCTATCGCGGATTTCTGTTCTCCGGATTATCTGAAGGCGCGCATGTCCAACGACTAGTTTCAGAAAGCCCATTTAGGCCGCTTGTTCCCGTGATCGAAGTGTTTCAGTTATGGCTCATGACCGTAAATGACCGTGGGAATCAAGATCGACTTGAGCACCAAAGCCTTAATCTTCAGACTCAACTTTGCTTTAGTCGCAGCGGTTCGAGTTAGATGACCCAGAACACCACTGGTTGTCCCATCCGCCAGTCGATCTCTTCCTCAAATTTTCCATCGCCAGCAAATACGACCCCGAGGTAATTGAACCTCTCTACCTGTTCCACTGCTTCTCCTTTTATCTAAAGAGATCAACGAGCAGGAGAACGAGAAAGTACTAGGCTTTTCGTTTTAGATGCGTTCACACGCTGGGAACATCGCACTCTGCTGGGAACCTTTCTATGGAGCATTGTAGAGCAGTTTCAGAAGATGCCAAAAAAGTTATGTCGCTTGCTGACAGCAACCTCCTCGTCTCCACATCTCCTACACCGATACCCTCATCGCCTCGGCAGCTCCTGACACTTCTATCCAGGTACAACACAAACAGGAGACGGGTAGGGCTTAGTCTTGGTGGAGACCAGTGCGAACGTTGAAGGGTTTGGACATTACCACATTTACTCTGATGCGGCACCTGCTATCAGAATGCTGTAATAGCGCTTAACAGCTGGCCGTCTATCCAGTATGCTCGATGGCATGGCCATAGACTGTTACATAGGATCCGATCATGGGCTTTTTCTCGGCCAACAAAAAACACACAATGTATGAGCGAAGTACCACTACTTCCCAACAATCTGGCGTAGGGTGAATATCTGATCAGATGTGCTTCGGCCGGGCCGGATGCCACATTGCTCTTCTTGTATGTGATAGTCAGTGCGGCATCCCTTTTCTAACAACTTTGCATTGACTTTTCCCGGGTGGCTCAATAAGCTAATGCCACAATGTTTAGAGCACTCCCTGTGGTCGCCCTTCTTGAATAGGGGGACAACGACTCCCGTTCTCCAGTCCGCTGGTATCTTCCAGTTTGACAGACACGTGTAATCCAGCACATGCCTTTTTCGCATAATGCCTTGAGCATTTCAGGGCGAATTTTTCAATTCCAGCAGCTTTTCCATTTTTCAAGATTTTCACGGCTTGTGAAATTTAATCTACAGAGATAGTAATATCTGTACCATTCTTCTCTACAGGCGAGTCTTTCTGCGGTTGCGTTGGGTTAAGGAGTTCCTCAAAGTACTCCCTCCATCGCCGGAGAACGTTATCATCCTTGGTAAGAAGGTGTCCAGATCTGCCTTTCAAGTCTCTGAGACTACCCGTCTTTTCACCTCGGAACCGGCGGATGGTCTGT